TTAGGAAACAAAACTTCAAGAACATGGCCACACAGCCCGGAAGACCCACACCAGCCATCGTATGCCGGCTGTGAAAGCCTTCGACAATACAAATACTAGCTTTGTTTGTTTGTTCTTGTCATTCAGGGTTTTGTAATATAATCTTGTGTTATTTCTGTACAATTCTTTGGTACTGTCATATACAAAAGCTCAAATTTTCATTTTTAGATTTGGATGAGTGCTTTCAGTGTGCACAAGATCACTATCCAAATGAGGACCAAGATTCCTGCCTTCTGAAAAATACAAACTTCTTGTCTTATAAAGAAACCCTGGGGAACACTTTGGCCAGCTTTGTGGTTTGTTTTTCCACCATTACCATTCTGGTGTTATCGATTTTCATTAAACATAGTGATACTCCCATTGTGAAAGCTAACAATAAAAGCCTCACCTACTTTCTTCTCATCTCTCTCCTACTCTCTTTCCTTTGTGCTTTGCTATTTATTGGTCAGCCTCATCAAATTATATGCCTTCTTCGACAGACAACATTTGGCATCATCTTCTCTGTGGCAGTTTCGAGCATCTTGGCAAAGACTATCATTGTAGTTCTAGCTTTCATGGCTACCAAGCCAGGGTCTGGAATTAGAAAATGGGTGGGGAAGAGACTGGCCATTCCTATTGTTTTTTCTTGCTCTTTTATTCAAACCACTATTTGTATTGTATGGCTATTGACCTCTCCCCCATTCTTAGATGTTGACATGTATTCTATGCCAAAGGAAATTGTATTGATATGTAATGAAGGGTCAGCTATCATGTTCTATTGTGTCCTTGGTTTTATGGGCTTCCTGGCAATGTTCAGCTTCATGGTGGCTTTCCTAGCCAGGAGGTTACCTGACACGTTCAATGAAGCCAAATTTATTACCTTCAGCATGTTGGTCTTTTGCAGCGTCTGGCTGTCCTTTGTTCCAACATACCTGAGCACAAAGGGGAAATATATGGTGGCCGTGGAGATCTTCTCCATTTTGTGCTCCAGTGCTGGGTTACTGGCTTTTATCTTCTTCCCAAAATGTTACATTATTGTGGTGAGGCCTGATTTAAACAACAAGGGACAGCTAAGAAGAATAATTGAAGAAGTTAAAGATAGCCATAAGTAAATATGTTGTACTAAAACATTTTCATTTATAACTAATAACTTTGTATTTTGAACTGATTGGTTTTCATGTTCTTATTGTGTAATTTCCCTCCTCTAAAACTGAAATGGAATAAAATTCTGAATTTCATGGAAGACAATGAAAGACTATCTCAGTGTGATTTTGATTCATTTCTTGCAACCTCTGCTGACCTACAGCCAGGTATCTCTAAAAAGATGATAACTGTTCTATCAGCAGTTGAAATGTTTGGTGTTTTGTTTGTGAATTTGACTGGCATGTTTAGCACTATTACTTTAATAGTCTGAACCAAAACAACTCTTTGAATTAAAGCAACATTTCAGTTCAGTGTCACTGATTGAAAGGGTTTATTTATTCTTCTTTTACTTCATGTTCAGAAAAAAAAAAAAACATAAATTTTGTTAAATAGTAAAGAAGCAAAAATAAGTGTCCTTGGAATTAGTCTCCTGAATAAAGATTCCAAAAAAAATTGCCAAAACACTGAAATCATTGATCCTTTGTCAAATTAGTAAGTAATTAGGAGGTAGGGACATAGGTTCAGATGAAAATCTCCCAATTTAATGTTCATACATTTGGCATATCAGTAACACATTACTTTAAGTACAGATGATGTCAGGTGATGGGTTTTTTAGCTGACTCCTGTGCTTGAAATAATTACTTTTCTTGACTAAGTGTCTAGCAATGCTAAAACTCCTTATCTCCTTATTAGAATTGTTGATTTAAAGCTAATTTAATTATATTATGAATTATATTCTAGAATATGGCCATAGTAGGACAAGTCAAGACGATACAACTTGATATTCCAGCACTGAAATTTCCTCTCCAGCATCAAAATGTTTGGATCTAATTCTTACTACAACTCACCAAAAGTAAAAAAAAAAAAAAAAA